TATAAGATGATTTACCATTAGGGTTCAGGCAAAAGGATTTTGGCTTGCTGTCAAGCTCAGTTTGTTTCACAAAACCCTGTTTGCAAATGCCTTCGAAATGTCCTTCTTCAGGAGCCCGACTTCCATCGTCTTCAGTTTTACGGGCGAATCAATATGAATCGATTATTGCCAGAAGGGTACGGAACGAAGCCTTTCATTGATTACAAATACGGGGATGTTTGGAAAGATCACTATTGATGGTTATGCTTGATGTTGTTAACTATTGCAGTGGATAAATGGTTGTCTTTTATGTTGTTCTGGTGGACAACTCATACAAAATAAGGAGTTTTCAAAGGGGGTCTTACTACCTACCACAAATAACATGAGAGGGAGGACGCCGTTCTGCTCTTGCAGGGGTAAACTGACCTCTGAGGACGACGATCTAGTCAGTCCAGTTTCCACAAAGAGTTCCACCTAACAGCCTCTTCGACACAGTAAAAGGAGACCTGCAAAGTTTGCAATAATGCTGAGTTTTACGATGAGAGAAGGTGTTAGGGAGCTTTCCCTCTTTCTGATTTCACTGAATCCGATCTAGGGGATGTTCTCCTGACCCAGTACGGAACGTGAAACGTCATATGCATTGAGAGCTGGTCAGAGTTGTTTGCTCATTTGAGCGCCCTGTTATCTTTGGGAATTCGGCGCTATCAAGGAGCCTGTCCGCTTGAGAAAATCGAACTTCGCTATGGACGACAAAAAGCCGAGGTAAGTGGTTGCTCTTCATTCGTGCCTAGACTTTTGTAGCGAAACGCGTTGGTTTTTTCTTTGCCTTTTTTTGTAAGAATCTAAGAAAGCCAAGTATTATTATGAGTCCTTGGAGATACACTCTGCTTTCAAAAAATGGTGAGGTTTGTACAGCTCAAATACTAATGACCAGGTGCTGAATAACACGAAAGTTAAGAGAAAAGCCGAAGAATTTCCCCTCCCTCCCCCCATGTTCCACAGGGTATTCCCGCTTCTTGTACGTGCATAGGGGAAGAAAGGCCATGGAGGGACAAAGTGTTGCCAGCTCTTTCCCTTATCACCTTACTCTCACCACTGATCTGAAAAAGGAGGCAGTAGTGAGGGCAACCGTACGTCAGGTAGCAGTTAAAATAAAATTGGAGGCGTCGGCCGTGGCAGTGGCGGACCGTGCTCGTGCGAGCGGCGCGCTGTCCGTGTTATTAGTCCCTCGAAGTAGGACCCCCTTCATGGTTTGCAGGCAGTACTGCCTTTTCTCAAAGAAAACCTTTGAACATCAAATGAATGAGGGGTGTGTCTTCAAAAGCGATGAAGCTTTCACTGCCTCTGTCAACCTGCCAACCAGCAATCGTTCACATTGCCTACCTGCTTCAAACATGTATACTCCTCATCATTACGGACCTGTCGGCGGGGTCCAGTGCGGCTGCGGCTCTTCCGCGCGTTCCAAGTCTTTCTACAACCCCGTTTGTTGGAGGCGAACAGAATGACATATACAGCAATTATATCCTGCTGTATTACTCGTGTTCTACGCACTTTTTTTGTCGCATACGCGCTTCAAAGAAAAGGCTGAGAACGGCTTCAAACAGTGTGCGCACTCCTTCTGGCTGATACGCCCCGACAGTCCGTAATGATGAGGAGTGTACCAACTACGTAAAAAATAAACCAGTAGGAATAAAATAGAAAATTTGCGCAGTTACATTAATGACTTTCAGACTACGATGCCTTTTATGCTTCCTTATATCGCTTTTAGTGGTATTTATTCTAACTACTGTTGCACTGGCTGTTTCCTTGGCTATTTATGTGCAGAAGTTTGAGGTGAGCTTGCACTTCGACTATCGGGGCTGAACAGAACTCTTATAAAGGCATATAAATAGCTCATTCAAACATATTACAGGACACCTTACCGAAGACTACGCCTGGCATGAGCCTCGTCATAAACTCCACGTGGAACAGTCTGCCCATCGAGCATCCTATAACAATACATTTGCAATGGAAAGACTCGGAAAAGGCCATACAGGTTAAATTTGAGGTATGTCAGGTCCAGATGCGGTGCGAGCATAGCACGGGTACAGCATCGTGATGTGTGAAATGGTGATGTCAGTGCGACCGCCCCCTCCTCCCCCTCCCCGAAGCAAGGGTCTCGGTACGGCCATCTCCCCTTCCTCCACGGCTACCTTTCCTACAAGTTTTCCCAGCTTCCCTACCAAAGATTTTCCGTCGACTGGGGAGGGGGTATATAGCCAATGTGAAGCGGGAGGAAGTCAAAAACCGGTGGAAAATTTTTCTCCCAACGCAACAAACTTCTCTCAAAGGCACATACGGCCCAACACATGTAACACATGGCCTCTCCCAGCAACGACCAAATACGACACCCCCCCCCTCCCAACGGCCAAGTAAGATCCTACATGTGTTTCACACAACCATGCTATACCCTGCCTGCATGAGCTGAAAAACTAACCCTATGTATAGGAGGGGGCGGGGAGGGCTGGTAGGACAGTTTTGCACTTACTAACGCCTTGCGTTCTCCTTACGAAATATTTTTGTGGGTTCATATGTTCTTGAATAAGATGATTTATTTTTCGCGTCACTTCCTACACCTAGTGACGATGCTACGGGGTGAGGGAGGTAACAAAGAACTTTTCTCGAAGAATATTTCAGAAGTATCTCTATCAACAATCCTCTGCTCCGAATCCTACGCTGACGGCTTACTCCTCAGGTAGGCGCACAACCTTATTCTATTCATTGAAGTTTCTATCATTGTAACTAGTCACTTAGTTTCGACCTGGTAGGCGCTGACAGTGCCTTTCCATTCAAATCAATTATATTCCGTCCCAATTCACGGCCATGTACCCTTGGGGTTCATGCCGTTGTAGACGACCTGTCATTATAGCTTTACAACTACGAAGTGCTGGAAATCTTCATGGCAAATAACAAGGATCAGTACGTAGAGATCGAATTGGGTCCGCACCAGCAATGGCTCTGCCTTCTCCTCGATGGCGAACGAAAAAGCTTCAATGAAGGTATTAATGTGATCAGGGAAATGCTGGGTATGCTTGTGGCTCTAGTACCCACTTCTTACACCTGAACCATTATTTATTTAATTATTGCTTGTGTAATACATAGTACAATTACCTGCAAGGTGGATCCTTTCCATTTGCCAGCTAGACTGGTAGCTTTGGGAATACGCCACTTTGAGAAGTAGAAACTGTAAGGAAATGAAGCTTGAATGCTAATTGAATGCTCCGTATGTATCCGTGTGTATGTTCCCTAACAATAAGTCCTTATAGCTGAGGCGGACTTGTCCACCTCATACATGAAAATGGTATACTAGGTATGCTGATATCGTCGCAGTTAGTCGGGGCGGTATCAGCAGGGACAGAGTGAAGCCGCCCCATCGGCCTTCTCTACCAATAGTAATAGCCTTCTCGTTAGTGACTCAGTTCAGGTAAAAATCTTACATTCCATTTTTTATACGCCCCTATGATTGTGAAGACAATCAATTTTAATTTTACAATTTTCTTCAAGCTTTATTCATAGAAATTTCGGCACTATTGAACTATTCCTACCCCAAAAACTCAAAAAATTTTTCGCTGAAACGTTGCCTATAGATGTAATTCGATGCGCTGATCACGAATATCACATCCGTTTCGAGCGCTGGCGTCATTTGGCGCCATTATGCGCCAGTTTGGCGCCCCCTTTTCTTCACCAAAGTGATGAAATTTGCGTACGGGAGGTTAATCGACATCCTGATCACGAATATCACACTGGCTTCGAACGCTGGCGCCATTTGGCGCCATTATGCGCCAATATGGCGCCAAATTGGCGCGTGGCGCCAAATAGCGTTAACGCCAAAAATGAGTGTCGGATGTAATCAAGGCCTCAAGTAACCCCCATATGCAAGTTTTCATCAATTTTGGTGAAAAAAATGGTGGCGCCAAATGGTGGGCGCATAATGGCGCCAGATGACGCCAGCGCTCGAAACGAATGTGATATTCGTGATCAGGACATCGAATTACACCTATAGGCAACGTTTCAGCGAAAAATTTTTTTTTCAGTTTTTGGGGTAGGAATAGTTCAATAGTGCCGAACCTTTCTTCTACCTTTGCCCAGGTGAATATCTACAACTGTCTGTGTGGAATCGGATTGACGGTAACAAGTGGATTGGTGAAGCAGATATTCCATTCGCATATCTTCCGGCCAGTAAGTTATTCTATCAGTGCGCTGGACTCGCCGTAATTCAAGTTCTGGCTGAATAAAGGCAGTGGGCACAATTATTTGGTCATGCTCACAAAAGAAAAGAAAAAGAAAAGCAAGAAAGATGAAGAGAGAAAAAAGCGCAGGATCTCTCGTTCCTACTGTTTGATTTTATAGTTGTTTGCTCAGATGTATCTCGAATAAACGCCTACGAGATTCATAATGAGAATGACACAACAGTGTATGAGGCCATGAATCCGACTCCTTACGGAAAGTATAAGGTATTGTTATAGGGAGTGCCTTAGTTCTGCCATCAGTGTTTGGGAATATATGTGAATATGAATGTATGCATCTGTATAATCACCTCCGAAGAAGGTTGTTTTCATGCTTGACGGGTCGCAGCTGCTGTAGCGTGCCACTTTCCTCCGCTCAAAAGTGAACGGGAGGCGGAGCGGGGGACATGATGCCCGGCTACCGACCTCCATACTACGCCTGCGCCATCCTGCGCGGGCAGTGTATGAAGGACGGCATCGTGTCGATATACCCTTCTTGTTCGTTGACCGCAGCACAGTCGGAGCTTTGCAGCCACAGTTCACCTCGCACTAGAGAGGGACCGTCTTCGGAGGTGAGTGCACAGTTTGTCCTTAAATCGATCGGGCCTGTAGAAGCGCCAACAACAGTAACAATCGGCCCCCGAGTTGCGCTTTGAATCGCGTTTCAAGCTACTCAGTTTCAGGGTCCGGACTTCCATCGCCTGAGCTACTTCGTAACCTTTGACCCATTGCTCATCATTGCTAAAGAATACTTCGATGAGTTCCGGCCGTATCTGCGACAAGTAGGTATGGCTTGACTATGGGCTGCCATTTACTGATACACTCAGTGAATTTGATGATTTTCACTAGCATTGATTTTCCTCATCGTTTTATCCATCTGAAGTCTGTTTGAGTTCACTCCATTCTAAATTTCCGGTCATTCTGGTGATGTCGTTTATTTTTTTTCTATTTTTGTGGGGGTGGAATCTCTCGAGCTCATGGTACACAGACTTCTTGTACATACAATCTTTATACGGAAAAAAAGAGAATAAAACCTAGCTTGCGAGTGAAAATTGAACAACAATTCAAAGAGACGATCAACCCAATTATCAGGCCTCATTGTCATGGTCTTCTGATTAAGCTGATGAGACTGATCCGCTCATTACGTTCTGGGATTTATGTACCCCAATAATGTCGAAGTTCAGGCTCTCAAGTAAGAATTGCTCGTAGATGTTGCTACTGTAGGAAAAGTGGGCGATGACGTGCAAGTAAACATGCATCTCTCACTGCGTTTAAAACGATTCTCCTAACGGAATCCAGAATGACTACGTCAGGGAGGACGTGAACCCGCATTTCGCGCTTACTGAGCGAATGTCTCATTGGTAACGCTGAGTTCTCTCCTACCATTTCAGCTTGGTTATAAGGCGTGCTCAGTGGCGTAACATATGGTGCTCTCGCCTGGAATCGTGAAAGGGGGGTTCGAGTCCTGCCTAAGGTCCGTACTTCTGCCCGTAAACCCAGCTGTTTTGTGATGTGTACAGTCGTGAAAACGCCACACAACCACTTATTGTTAGTACTCAGGTGCGTTGATAAAGGCGACTGAAGATTTAAACGATAGAGCAGCGGGTTTCCTTATTCTCAGCTTCACACAAATGTAATTTCGAAGTGCATCACTGAAGATCCATAGAAGATAAGCACCGATACCGGCGTAAATATCCCTGAAACAACATTGATTGATTGATCTGCATGTCTGCGAAGCAGAGCATTCTGCGAACCAGAATGTGGTTAAGAAAATTTGAGGTGAAGTTCCACGCACAAACCAGCCTCTCATACAGTCCACATCTCGGAGATGGAGAGGGCGTGGCTACGTTCTTCAGTTCATTATGGTGTAGGACCTTATCGTGGAATATTTCCTTTTAGGACTACTATCGTCCTGCCTTCAACTATACCTAGAAAACATGACTGCAATTCCCCAAAAAGGCAAGTTCGTTCGGTGAAGAACGCTTTCGGTGAAGCATTCTTCACTGAAAGCGCACTCGCTCTAGCGTTCAAGTGAAGCACCAGAAACGCCCCTCCCATCTTCCGTGATATGCTTACCTATATACACATAGCCAGACAAACCGACACACAAAAATGGAAGTCCATGAAATAGAGCGTTGTCTAATAATTACTCGTTCAGCGACTCTCAAAACTTGACGGACAAACTGTGCATTGTCCGGATCTCTCTTCGAGATAGGGACGTGAAACAAGCGGATAACGCTGCCATGACCTAATTGATTTTATATCAAAATAGCGGGTGTAATCAACTACCATTACTAGTGGTTCGCGTGCGACGCTGTGCCTCAGAGTCCTTGAACTATCCGGTGTAAATCTCGATGTAACCGCCAGCGCTCACCTTCAGTCCGGGGTCCACGAAGAAAATATTGGTCTTTCCATTCCAGGTACGTCCGGTCCATACCATCAACCCGCGCCTTGGCGACTGCGGTGAAGATGATGTCCTAGACCGTAGCGACGTTGTCGGAGCTGCTCGATGTTGGAGGTCTTCCAGATCGAGAGTACTGGTCTCCAGGTAGCTATCCATGGGTGACTCCACACTAGAAGTTTCGCAGCTCGTCCATGTTCTGACTTTTGCCCACAACTCAGCATTCTCGTAATAGTTTCGCAGCTGTCTGGAGGTGACATGAATTCCAAAGGTCTTCTCCAGTCAGGCTGCGACTGGAGATGACTTCATATTTTGGTGTACATGAAGGTGATGGGCGAGAGCCAGCTCCTGCTTATCGAGGAACATCTTGGGTATCTTCCGCCCTGGTACTCGTATCCACGTCCTCTGTCTGGGCAGCGAAAACTTTGCTGATATGTGACTCGGTCGAAGTGACTTTTTTGCCCCCCCCCCTGTAGTCGAGTCGCCTGTCCAGCTTCCACATTTGATGGAGAACGGGCCGCGCCGAACCCAGCGTCCCTGACACGCCACAGCATCCGCAGCGAAAAATACTGCACTTCCCTTTCAGTCTATTCTGATGGTCAATGTTCTAATGGCAAATGTCTCGATTCCCAAGCATAGAAACACATCCAAATGTTTATCGGAGCAATGAAAAATGTCCGCAAATAGATTCCACATGAGCTGCTGAGTGGAGCAGTTACTTCTCATTACATGCGCATCTTCCAGAACTCTGTTACCGTCCGTATCCA